CACTTTCTTTTGCTTAGTGTTTGCTTAGTTTTATCTTTTTTCATCCTTTCACTTTTAACATATTTATATCTTTATATTTAAAGTGAATTTCTTTTAAACAATATAGTTGGTATCTTGCTCTGTCAGTCAATCTAACAACCTCTTCTAAGGTATATTCAAACTGAATGTGATTATTGACGTGTTGGATTAAAATATACTATCTTGTGTACTATTTTCTCTTTGTTTCATTTTTTCTGTTTACTTTTTTCTTCTTTTTCTCTCTCTTGTGTGTTACCCAAGCATTTTAATGATCCCATTTTATCTTTTCTATGAACTTATTATTTATATGTATTTAAAATTTTTTCCAAAAAAAATTTTTTTCATAGTTGACCTAGGGTTTACAATATACATCTGTAATTAAGAGTCCACCTTAAAGTAATAAGGTATCATTTCACATGTAGGATGAGGACTTTATAAAAGTATATTCTCAATTCCTCCTTCCCATCTTTTTGATATTGTTGTGCTACAGTTTACTTTCGTACATCCTGTAGACAAACAGCACATTGCTGCTGCTTTTGCTTTGACAGTAGGCTTTCAGAGCAGAAGTCAGCAAAGCAACCATTGGCCAAATTCACCCTGCCACCTCTTTTTGTATGGCCTGCAAATTAGGAATGGTTTTTAAATTTTTTAATGGTTGAAAAAAATCAAAAGAAAAAAATTTCATGACATGTGAGAATTACATGAAACTAAAATTTCAATGCCCATAAAGTTTTATTGGAATATAGCTACAATCATTTTTTTGTTTTGTTTAAAGATTTTATTTATTTGACAGACACAGCGAGAGAGGGAACACAAGCAGGGGGAGTGGGAGAGGGAGAAGCAGGCTCCCCACTGAGCAGGGAGCCCGATGCAGGGCTCGATCCCAGGACCCCGGGATCATGACCTGAGCTGAAGGCAGACGCTTAACGCCTGAGCCACCCAGGCGCCCCTACAATCATTTCTTTATGTTTTGCCAATGTCTGCTTTCATACTTTAAGGAGAATTAAGTGGTTGCAACAGAGACCATAAGGCCCACAAAGCCTAAAATATTTGCCTTTTATAGAAAAAAATTTTTTGCCAACCTCTGTTTTAGAGCAATTAAAAATGAGAAAAAGAGGGGCACCTGGGTGGCTCAGATGGTTAAGCGTCTGCCTTCGGCTCAGGTCATGATCCCAGGGTCCTGGGATCGATCCCCACATTGGGCTCCCTGCTCAGCAGGGGGCCTGCTTCTCCCCTTCCCTCTGCTTCTCCGCCTGCTCATATTCTCTCTCTCTCTATCTCTGTATCTCGAATGAATAAATAAAAAAACTTAAAGAAAATGAGAAAAAGATTAATTTTATTTTACCTACATTTATTCCATTTCTAGCACTCTTCTTTGTGTGAACCCAAGTTTCTGTCTGATAACCATATTCCTTCTGTCTGAAGAATTTCCTTTAGCTTTTTTTAATTGACTAAGTCTGCTAGCCCTTAACTCCCTCAGTTTTTCTCTGAGAAAGTCTTTATTTCCTCTTCATTAAAAAAAAATATTTTCTGTAGGTTAACAGGTTTTTTTTTTCTTTTAGTGCTTTAGGCACTTCATTGATTTTGGTTTGTATCATTTCTGACTAGAAGTTAACTAATTATCTTTGTTCCTCTGTATGTCTTTTATTCTCCGGCTGTCTTTAAGATTTTCTCTTTGTGTTTTTAAAAATATGGTATGCTAAGGTGTTCTTTATTTGTCTGGCATTTATCCATGGTGGTCTCTGAGCTTCTCTGGTTTCCTGTCAGTCATTACTTTTGGAAAATTTTTGGGATTATTTCTTCCTATTGCATGCTCCTCTTCCTGGGATTCTAATTATGGGTGGGTTAGATTATTTGATATTGTCCAGCAGCTCTTGGATGTCTTATTTTGTTTCCCATCCCCTGTTGTTTTTCCTTTGTATTTAAGTTGGGTAGTTTCTACTGACTTACCCAATTCTCTTCTTTGGCTGTGTTGAGTCTACTGATGAGCTAGGTGAAGACATTTCTCATCTCTGGTATTGTGTTTTGCGTTTCTGACATTTTCACTTGATTTTTTAAAAGATTTTATTTATCTGTCAGAGAGGGAGCACAAGCAGGGGGAGTGGCAGGCAGAAAGAGAAGCAGGTTCCCTGCTGAGCAGGGAGCCCAATGTGGGACTCCATCTCAGGACCCTGGGATCATGACTTGAGCCGAAGGCAGATGCTTAACCAACTGAGCCACCCAGGCATCCCTCACTTGATTTTTTTTTTTTTAATAGTTTCTCTCTCTTTGTAGAAATTACTTATCTTGCATATTATTCATCTTTTCCATCAGAGTCTTTAACATATTAATCATAATTATTTTGAATTCCCTGTCCCAACATCTGGATCACATTTGTGTGTTCTGATGTTTTCATGTACTTCAACTTTTTTTTCAAACCCAACCTAGTGTAGGATATAGCAGACACTGAGGTATATAAAATTTGTATCTGGAAATGGAAATACCTTTCCTCTTGCTAGGCCTTTAATGGAGGTAAGGGGATGAGTTAATCTAGTTGGGGTTTGGTCTTGGTTTGAGGTTTGTTGCTAAGGTTACCTTTGGTATACCACAGCTATCAACTTCTGTAGTCCTACCTGGGGTGTAGAGCAGGTGCTCGTTTGCCAAGCAGTGTCTGCCTTCAGCTTTAGAACTTCTCTCTGCATTGCACCCAAGAGGAGGTCTCTGCATGCTCTTTTTTGTTCTCCTGCTCCTGTCCCTCTCCCACCGATACTCCACTTTGACTTGTTTCTAGAAGTCTGTTAGCTTGGGAGGTGGGTGGTAGAGTGTTCCTGGTTCTGGTTAGGCCTCAGGTTTAGGCAGATGTCATGTCCCTGCATCTCAGGAGGGTAGCCTTCTCATTTTTCCTGCTCCTCCTCCCTTGTAGTTCTGGAGCCAGCAAATATTCCTGCCCACCCCCCGGCATAGATTTTCTTTTTCACGTTCCCTTCCCCTACAGATTAAATATTACGCTTTTTAAGGGGAAAGCATCCCAGTGGACTCATGCCCGTACACCTGTGGTTGCTGTACCCTCTCCCAGGTCTGCACCATAACACTTCTCTTGGGGCTCTTTCTGATCTCTTCTATGAGCTTACAGAGAAAAACCTATAAGAGGGCACAAACTCCCAATTTCTTTGGTCCTCTAGTAGCTCACTAGCCCACGTCTGGCCTTCACCAACTCATTAACCGTCCTAACTGAACTATTACAAGTGTCTTGTTGCATCTACCCCAGGTAAGAGACCCTACTCTGCTTATCCTTCTGGTGCCTACCTCTCCTTAGATTCTTGGCCAGTAGGTTGTCCTGGGACTACAATTCTCTGATTGGTTTAGCAATATTGTAGATTGTAGTTTATCTAGTCTTTCCTTTAGAGGGTGAGTGTATTTTTTTTTTTTAATACTTACCTACATCCCCTAGTGGAAGTCAGATGTCTTTGTATTCCTACTATATTTGCAGCTATTACTAAACCATATATAAAAGAATATAAATGGTATGCTGCATGTGTTCTTATGCAGTTTTGCTTTCCATTCAACATTGTATTTGTGGAGTTCAGAAACAAAGGACAGATTATTACAGCAATAGCAATATCCAGAGGATCATCATTTGTACTGCTTCCCCTTGCCCCCAAGTCCCATGGGTGGACTGAGGTAGATGCCTGCATATGGAGTGGGTTGCATTATAGGAGAGGGACCCTGAGGTTAGGAAACCTGGAACTGTTACAGTGGGCAGTAGCATACCCTGCTTTAAGGGAGGTATTGCCTTTATTATAATAGAAAAGATGCATGACTTCCCTTGGTTCCAAAGAAAGACATGGTATCTTTTTTTTTTTTTTAAAGATTTTATTTATCTATTCGACAGAGACAGTGAGAGCAGGAACACAAGCAGGGGGAGTGGGAGAAGGAGAAGCAGGCTTCCCACTGAGCAGGGAGCCTGATGTGGGGCTTGATCCCAGGACCCTGGGATCATGACCTGAGCCGAAGGCAGCCGCTTGACGACTGAGCCACCCAGGTGCCCAGGAAGACATTATATGTACAAGCCAGAGTTGATCAGCGTTGCCACTGTGGACATTTGGGTTTGGATACTTCTTAGTTGCGGGGACCTGCCCTGTGCATTATAGGGTGTTTAGTAGCATCCCTGGCCTTTGCCCACTGCATGCCAGTAGTACCTCTTCTCCCAGTTGTGTCCACTAAATATGTCTCTAGACATTGTCAAATATCTTCAGTGGGCAAAAATGCCCCGATTTGAGAACGACTATGGTAAGCAAACTTACCCTTGTCTCCAAAGGGAGTCATTATCTTGCAAAGTTCGCTCTACAATCTTTAAAAGATAGTCTAGAACAAAGAGCAGTCATTGCCTCCTTTTGCAAGATTTGTGGAAATGCATGTTATCCATGGACCATTGTCTCCCAACATTGGTTTTAACTTAATTGCATTGTGGTTAGAGGAATGCTGTGTATGCCACTGATTCTTTGATGAGACTTGTTCATGGCCCATCTGTGGTTGGTTTTTGTAATTGTCTTAAATGTGCGTGAAGACAGTGTATTTTCTCTGTTAGGTGCAAAGTTTGGTATGTGTTGATTAGCAGATCATGACATTTCCATACAGATCTTTTATGTCTGTATAACTTTTGTCTGAGCTGCTAATTACTAAGAGAGGTATATAAGGCCTTTCTGTTGGCGAATTTGTCCATTTTCCCTTGTAATTGCTAATTTTGTATTATATATTTTGAGGCTATATTATTAGGTACATCCCCCAATTTGAGAGTTAGAACACTGTAATTTACTTCTAGGTATTTATGAGCTCTTTCCCATCCTGGGCTTCTGCCTCCCCCAACTGGGGTAGCTACTGGTCCTGTCCTGCTCTTTTTATTTTTTCCTTAAATTTTTTTATATTCCCTATTTTCCCCATTTGTTGCTTTGTGAGTTATATTCGAATTATATTCTTTAGGTGGTTTCCTTTAAAATCTTAATACACAGGACACGAGCCATGGAGGAGATGCTGCCCCTGGGCTGCAGCAAGCCGCACCTGGAGAAGCTGACCCTGGGGATCACCCGCATCCTAGAATCTTCCCCAGATGTGACAGAGGTGACTATCATAGAGAAACCACCTGCTGAATGTCATATGATTTCTTCATGGGAACAAAAAAATAACTGCATGCTACCTGAGGATGTGAAGAATTTTAACCTGATGACCAATGGCTTCCACACGACATGGAGTGTGAAGCTGGATGAGCACACCATTCCATTGGGCAGCATGGTGATTAACAGCATCGCAAAACTGACTCAACTCAACCAGTCTTCCGTGTATTCACTCCCAAATGCACCAACGCTGGCAGACATGGAGGATGATGCACTTGAAGCCAGTGAGAACCAGCCAGAGAAGCCTCACTTTGATTCTCGCAGTGTGATATTTGAGCTGGATCCTTGCAATGGGAATGGGAAGGTTTGCGTTGTCTACAAAAGAGGGAAACCAGCGTTAGCGCAAGACGCCGAGATCTGGTTCCTGGACAGAGCGTTATACTGGCATTTCCTCACCGATTCCTTCACTGCTTACTGTCGCCTGCTCATCACGCACCTGGGCCTGCCACAGTGGCAATACGCCTTCACCAGCTACGGCATCAGCCCACAGGCCAAGCAGTGGTTCAACATGTATAAACCCATCACCTACAACACAGACCTACTTGCAGAAGAGACCAACTGCTTCGTGAACAAGCTGGATCCCAGCAGAGTGTTCAAGAGCAAGAACAAGACCTTAATCCCCAAAAAGAAAGGGCCAGTCCAGCCTGCAGCTGGCCAGAAAGGGCCCCCGGGTCCCCCCTCCACCTCTAAATCCTCTTCTAGCCCTGGAAACCCTGTCCGGAAATGAGCACCCCTACCTCCCCACCAGCCCTACAGCAACGATTTCCATGCACAGATGGCCCAAGCCTCAGATTCTGTGAGTGGCACCATAGGCCTCTTCCCATCTGCATGAGCCAAATCCTAGGCCTTTTACTCCCGTTGGCATTAGCCAGGAGTTCAAGGGCATACTCAGGTCTCCCCTAGAGTCCTTTCCTCAGCCCTTGCCTCTGAAAGCTGTGGAGAGTTTCAGAACTTGTTTAAGTAGTTAAATAGAGCTGCTAAGAGCTTCCTCTCTTTCCACCCCCAACCATCTACACCCCTCAGCAGTGATCAGAGAAATCCCCCGAAGAAACCACTGATTTTGACCCATGAGGCATTAGAACTGTGCTGTTCAGTTGGTAATCACTAGCCACAGGTGGCTGTATAAATTAAAAACTCAGTTCGTCAATTGCATTAGCCACATTGTGAGTATTCATGTGGCTAATAGCTTCTGTATTCAACAACAGAGATAACGGAACATTTCCATCATCACAGAAAGTTCTGTTGGGCAGCACTGCATTAGAATATTTTCATGCTGCCCTTACTCAGATCAGTTCATTTTTGTTAGAGAATGTGAGTACCTTAATTTGATGGGTCATAATGTTCCATGGAAATTCTTGAAGGTACAATTGTGTATGTTCTTTTTATTTTTCATAATTCTCACTGGTCCTTTTCAGTTTCCTATAAAATTTGTTGTTTCCAGAAAAAATTTAAAATAATAAATAAATAAATAAAATAAAATCTTAATACACATACTTAAAATCCCATATTTATCCCTAAATCGACTCCTGGGGCGCCTGGGTGGCTCAGTCAGTTAAGCATCTGCCTTCAGCTCAGGTCATGATCCCAGGGTCCTGGGATTGAGCCCCGAGTTGTCGTCGTCATCATCAACGTCAGGCTCTGTGCTCAGTGGGGAGCCTATTTCTCCCTCTCCCTCTGCTTGTGTCTCTCTGTCAAATAAATAAATATTAAAAAAAAAAA